TATTCTTAAATAACATGTTAAGATAATATATATTTTAACATAACAAAATACAATTGCGCCCCCCAAATTTTTAAATTACAACTTTATTTATAAAAAGCTACATTTTAAAATAATTGACTTAGGAAAACTGTGACTGCATATAATAAGATGATACTGCATTGTCATATCAGCAAAATGCAGAAACAAATTTCATATGGGATCAGAAATGCATGAAAATGCTTTGTTCAAATGTGCATATATATTGTTAAGAATCACAATAAAATACAATTACAATCTATTCTTAACATGTAAGTAGTAATTCTTTCATTGATTAGAACCTATTTTGGCCAATAACTGAGAGAACTTTTATATCATTTTTTCTTTCAAATCCACAGATTTTTACAATGGATTTCCAGAACAATAGACAAAAATGATACCACTGAGAAAGACAAAACCATGTGAACTATAGTTAGTCCCATGCCCCCTTAAGACTGCTAGGCCCTGGTAATTTGGAACATTTTATTTCCTCCACCCCACTCCTTACCCTCATCTTGCCAGCCTTAAAGATACCAAATAAAATCACAGGTCCTATGGAGGAGGTTGGGGGAGTAGGACCTAGTCAATAAAGGACTGGCATCAGAATTAGGAAAATCTTTGTAAAAGTAATGGTTTTAACATGTATCTTTATGGGTGACCCTAGGCAACCTCTTGGGCAGGTTGGTGGCACAGTGGACAGAGTACTGAGCCTGAAATCAGAAAGACTCATCTTCCTGAGTTCGAATCTGTTCTCAGACACATACTAGCTGGGTGACCCTGGGCAAGTCATTTAATCCTGTTTGCCTCAGTTTCCTCATTTGTAAATTGAGCTGGAGAAGGAAATGGCAAACCACTCCAGTATCTTTGCCAAGAAAATCCCAAATGGTGTCAGGAAGAGTCAGACCCACCTGAAAACAATAAAAGGCAACCTCTCATTTCCTCAAGCAACTCTCTAAAATAATTATCTGAAAAGAATATACCAATATGCATTAGCCATTAGTAAGAGGGAATTTCTTTACTGGGCATATAGACCAGATACACACACACACACACACACACACACACACACACACACATACACAAACACACACTGGCAAATGTTTAACAACCAGCTCTCTGGAGGGGAGGGGAATATTCACAGGAAATGTTCACACTTTTGAGTTTAACCTACATAATTAACATTTTCTCCATCACTTTCTTAAGTTTAGGCAATCAACAAAAACAATTAAGTCAAGCCCTTATTTGCAGCATTTACTGATTTCCACCCTAAGGTATAAATACAATGAAAATTAAACAGGTTCCCAAAACCTATTTAAACAAAAATACATTTGAGCTGGCTCCTCCAGCATGTGCCTGTATTACACATATGTGTGTTCATACACACATATAGTATGGTCATGTATGTATGTATGGCACAGTGGTTAGCTAGGAACTACTTGACTGAAGCCACAGGTTCTGATGGCCTGCAGCAATCCCTGTCCTTTATCTGTCCTCACAGCTTGTATGAGGTTCAATGCCATGAGGCTAGTTATCCCAGCAGTAGAATAAGGTTTCCCATGTTCATATTCATTGATTCCTCACCCCCACCTCAGCTACTCCAGCAACAATTTGATTTTGAACTCTAGACTAGTCCCACTCTCACAAAGGAAGGTAAAGGAAGTGCCCAATACCCACCATAAATCTGTCCTGCAACATGTTTATTCCCATACAGAAAAGGGAATGCTAAGGAAGAAAGAATTAGAATTATTTTATACTGATTTTTATACAACGAATTCTATAGCATCACTACTAGAATATAACCATTGGGAAGCTAATAGTCAAGTCTTATTGAGGCACAAATAGCTTCATTTCAAGGATGCTGAGAAGCCATTTTACCTTTCATCTCCACCGAGCACAATCTGCCAAACACCAAGCAGAATCCTTTTTCTGGTGGCAAGGATCTTCTTGTGCCAAGCCCAATGCTGCTACTAATGATGCTGTCGCAACTACTACCCTGGTTGCTGACAGTCACTAAGTCAATGCTAGAAGGAAAAGAAAACGCAAAAGGAAAGAAAGGCAGGGCAGCTGGAGGCCTCTGTGACAAGCCTGGCTAAATAAGTCCATGTTCCATGTGGGGAGAGAGGACACCAGAGGATCCTGGTCCACCATTATGCTAAGGTAGAGAAGGTGTCTTCCTTCCTCCACCCCTAACAACACTTTTTTGATGATTACCTTCAAAAACTCACCAGCCAGAAGCTGCCCTTTCTGCTCCTGTATGGCACCCCATGTCACCAGTTTTTCAAACTCAACAACCAACTAACAGAAGATGGAGTGACTGAACCCTGCCTTATATAACAGGAAGTAGGTAAACGCTATCTAGGAATATCCACATTTCCTTGAAAAGTCCCCAGGGCTCAGAGACTACATGCAGGTGCTCTGAAATTGTAAGGTAGGGGTGGAGTGAAGAGGTCCATGTATTTGCCTGGAACACCCTTATAAGACTATGGGTGCTACAGAGATGATAAACAGTAATATCACCATTTCTTCAGCACCCCCACTCTAATTGAGGAGCAACCTTAAATGTCAAGTGTCTTCAAAGTTCTTCAGCTCCCTCCATAAAAAAGGAAACTGCTATGAAGAGAGATGTATTGTTTATACCAAAGTTCACAGCATGATTTTCCTAATTCAGATTCCAATTATTTTTCTACTTCATTCACCACTCTTCATAATTCCATGAGATAAAATCTACAGTCTTCACCATGTACCCATAAAAGAATGGCTAATAAAACACCTAACCTGGATATGGTGTTTTTCACTTTTCAAAGCCTCGGTGCATCTAATACTTCCTTGTTATTCTCAGGACAAGCTAGCAGGTACAGAAGACATGGATGTTATTGACAGATGGAAGAACTCTAATCCAGAGGTCGAATGACTTGGCCAAGGTCACAAAACTCTTTAGTAACAAGATAAAGGCAAAGACCCAGGTGGCCCAATTCCAGCCCTGCTCTTTTTCCACCTTGCTTTGGTTTACAGAATGAGTTATGGCTCACAAAACTCTTTGCCTCACTCAATCCTCCTAACAACCTGGTGAAGTAAACAGTACAGGTATTATCATTCCCTTTTTACAGGTGAGAAAACAGAGACTCAGCCAAGTGAAAGGGCTTTAGCCAAACCAATAAATTAATTAACAGAGCCAGTCTCTTGGATCCAGTCGGTTTCTTTACAGCAATAACACATGTATACTTACATATTATCTGGTTTAGAGATATATGTGTGTATATAAATTCTTTCCTCACATAGATGTGTATTAACACCTACATACACATTGTCTCTGTCTACATACACATATGCGTTTGTATAAGCCTATGTACATAGCCATATATGTATTATACGCTAGGTACATATGTGAGTGTGTGTGTGTGTATATATATATATATACACACACACACTGGCATATATGCATAGATATGTATACATACATAGATACACAGGCCTATGTATGTGCATGGGTGTACTGTATATATGTATAGGTATCTATGTATGTATTCACATATACATATGCATAGGTATATATAAACGTATTTATACATGGGTATATATGCATAGGTATCTATGTATACATTCATAGATACATACGCACAGGTTATAAATACATATTTATACATAGGTCTATATGCATAGGTGTATTATATATATCATATACATGTACATGTGTGTATAGAGGCCTACTAAATGTGTATATATACATATATAGAAATATTCTTTTGCACATATACATATGTATGTATATGTGTATATAGGTAAGTATATATGTAACAGCATAGATACCTATTCATATATACATATCTACCCATGCATATTATTTAGGCATACATACCTATGTGTATAATCAGACAGTTCTCACTTTATTTGCATTACACAAATTTGACTTTACACAAAGAATTCTGAAAGAAATCCACATTCCAAAAAACACCCATGTTAACTTTACTGACAGTACTGTGTTCTGTTTCAGCTCCTGCTGCTTGGTGGTACTCTGACTTTCTCCAGCAAAATCTTCGACTCCCTCCCCCCACTCCATCCCACTCCCATGCCTCCAAGTGAAAACAGAAAGGACTGGAGGACCTGAGACCTCTGGGCACCAAGAGAAACCTTTACCTGCCCCTCCTTGACCTCCCCCTACTGTCTGTATAATATACCTATATATATATGTATATGTGTGTGTGTGTGTGTGTGTATGCCTATACACACACACACACACACACACACATATATACATATAACTTTGTTGTTGTTCAGTCCTTTGTGTCTGACTCTTTGTGACCCCATTTTAGATTTTCTTGGCAGAGATACTGGAGTGGTTTGCAATTTCTTTCTCCAGCTCATTTTACAGATGAGGAAACTGAGTTAAACAGGGTTAAGTAACTTGCCTAGGGTCACACAGCTAGGAAGTGTCTGGGGCCAGATTTGAACTTACAAAGATAAGTCTTCCTGACTCCAGACCGGCACTCTATTTACTTAGGCACCTAGCTGCCCCATATACATTAAACATATACATATATCTATATGTGTATATATACCTATGCTTATCTACACATGCACCTGTGCATATACATATGTAATACATATATGCCTATATACATATACGTACATACCTATACACATATACTATATGCAGATATGCCTTTCTATATATTTATATATACATATACTTAGGCATATACATATAAACCCATGCCAATACACCCACATATGCAATATACTTATGTATATACACACATATACACCACATATGTATATATAAGTACATTCAAACATAATGCAATGCATATATACACATGTATATGTACAAAACATACATATGCACAAGTGTATCCATGTATAACACATAGTGTACATATACATGCATCTGTTTGAAGAAAACATTAAATATACATCACTATCGGAATCACATATACTTACATATACACATACACACATGCTATTTCCTCATAGGAGCCCCGTGGAATATTAGTAATACTATGCCCACTCTGTCTATGAGGCACTGGAGGTTCAGAATGGTGAAGACTTGCTCCAAGGTCCCACAAACTAGGTGCCAGGGGTGCTTTTCAAGCTGGCTCCATGTTGCTAAAAGTAGCCATTTGGAGGTTGGGCCTTTTAAATGACTTTCCTCCTGAATTTCGCTCTCCACCCCCTAAAGAGAGCTAACATCAGCGTGCTCCCGCCTTTGTTTATTTACCATAGTTATCTTTCGGACCCTGTTTTCTTTCGGGGAGTAGGGGTGGGCCTCCCTAGAGGAAGGAAGTGTGCTGCACCAGCCAGTGCTTTCCTCTAGGAGGAGCCGAGTCGTCCAGATGAAAGTGACACGCACCAACTCCAACTCCTTGCAGGCAAAGGCAGCAATCTGAGCTCCCAGGAATTCGCTCCCCGGGCGGCTCTCGCCTCCTCCCCAGCCCATCTCCCACCAGCTGCCCTCACTCCTCCTTTGGCTGGAGCGCTCCCTCCCCTCCCGTCCCGAGCCTAGACCCTGGAGCGTGCTGCTCTCTCCCGGTTTCAACGAGATCCTCAATCCGCACCCCACCCCTCACCCCTGCAAAAAAGCTGCCTCTCCCTTTCCCTGGTTCCCACCCCTCCCGTACCCTCCCCTCCACTCCCCTCTCCTCCCCTTTACCCCGCCCCCCTCTCCACCCCTCCTCTCCCGAAGCCTGACAGCCCGAGAGCTGCCAAGCAGGGCGCAGCCATGGGAAGGGGAGGAGGTAGAGGCGGCGGCGGCGGCGGCGGCGGCTGCTGCAGCAGCAGCGGTGGCAGCTGTGGCTGCTGCTGAGCGCCCCGGCAGCGGGGACCCCCCTGGGGCGCCCGGGCGCAACCCGCCGCTGCGAGGAGAGAGACCCTCGGCTCGCTCTGCTACGAGGCTCCGCTCCAAGGTAGTGGCCGTGGTGGTGGGCAGATCCGCGGGCGAGGGGTCACTTCCCAACTCTGGGCTGGAACTCGGCGTTGGGGCCGGGCGGGGGGAGGTTTATTTGGGGGTGCTGGAGGCTTAGGATTTATCCGCAAATACACTGGGGGCTGGAGGTGGGGGTAGAGCACAGAAGGCTTGCGCTTCCTACCAAAGAAGTTGTTTTCCGCTGGTAGGTTGTTGTAATCTGATCCATACCATGGACGTGTGCGTGCGTGCGTGTGTGTTTCTGTCTGTCTGTCTTTGCTTGATTTTTTTTTCTTTTAGGGGAGAGAGTTGGGGGAGTGAGGATAATAGAACTAAACTTGTTTACGTGCAGGAAGGAGGGTGTCTTACTGAGGGGCGTGTGTATGGAAGGACTTATTTTGGAAATAGTTTGTGGGTGTCTTAAAAGTTTCCTCTATGTGAGTCTCTCTCTCTCTCTCCTCTCTCTCTCTCTCTCTCTCTCTCTCTCTCTCTCTCTCACTCTTACTCTCCCCCGCCCCCCCCATATATAATTTGTGTTTGACATCTTCAGCCTACTCGGGATCAGGAGCTCCAGCTGGAGCTGTGTGTCCAGAGAGGTGACTGGATGGTTGGAGAGGATAAGGGAACAATGGGGCTCCTTTTCCAGCCTTTCCTAATGTGCCCAGCCTTTCTTCTATCCCTGATGCAACTGTTATATATTTTTTGTTGTTGTTGCTCTTTTTTGCCCTTTGGGAGACTCTGTATAAGTAAACTCGGTTTGTCTGTATGGGATTGGCTTGGAAATTGGGGCTGCAACATCTTCCTCACTAGTGGCCCCTCACTAATCTGCGGTTTAGAAACGACCGCAAAGTTTTGACAGCCAGCGCTAACAGAGGCGGTCGGGAGTGCCAGCGGGTGCCTGGTCTAAGGGACTCCCTGCTGCTCAGTGGCTAGGGCTTTGGAGGAAGGCAGAGGGCGTGGGGCGCGTTGTCTGGGTGGGAGACCCTCCTTGTATACACCACACTGAAAACTGATGTTAGAACACTGGCTGTCCGGGTTTGTTTTGTTTTGGTGGTGGTGGTGGTGGTGGTGGTGGTGGTGGTGGTGGTGGTAGCTGTGGTGGTGGCTGCGGCGGCGGTTTTGTGTGCTTGCACGGCTGTACGTGCTATGTATGTGTGTCGGTGTACAGAAGAGCAAGCACAGCGTGTAGGAGTGTCCCTTAGCTGAGAGAGTACTGTGGGGGTAGGCGGAGGCCCTGGGAGGTGGTGGTGGCGGTGGTGGTGGTGGGAGGGTTGTTTATGTCTCAGCCGTGGACGGGACTGCGGAAAGGTAACGGGAGGCGGGAGGGTGGGGAAACTGGAGAAGTTCCCTGCCGGCGAGAGACTGGGAATTAGCTATGTGCTCTTCCGAATTTGCAAGCAGCAGCGTTACAGTATAAGAAGTACCCCCATTTTCTCTGAAAAAGAACCCTGCAGAAAGACGGGCACAGCCCCAAGCTAGAGACGTGGTGCCCTGCGGCGAATCCCCGAAATGGAAGGAACTCTGGGTCTGCAGTGTCACCCATTCGCTAGGGGTGTTTGTTTGCCTTCAGAACTTCAGCTTGAAGAGGTACTCAGGCACACCACCCTCAGGTTGTAGGCACCCGCCTGGGCTCTCCTGTTGTAGGAAACTGCATCTCTCGTCCAGAAGCGTTTGCAGGGGATCCCTCATGTTTCATGTCCCTGAGATCTTAATATAGAGTCTCATAGAAAGAAAACTCCTGGAAAAAAAAACCTACTGAAATAAAAGGATTGGGCAAGATGCTGGTCTGTACTTCATTCATTTGCTTTTTGGACGAGTGAAGGATGGTGTGTTTGCTCTGTGGGGGAAAAACGACTCGAGGACCCCGGAAAGAGAGACCGAGGTGTCTCTAGTTATATATTTGTCATGGAAGATTTGCTTTAGCCTAAAAGTCTGTGAGGCATACTGTAATTTGTAGCCAAGAAGTTTTCTCCTCCTACTGCCAACTTGAAAAAAAAATTGCCTAACATTACTACTTAGGAGAATAGGTGACTCAATGTTCAGCCTTTCTTCAGAGTAAATATATACATCGAAATTATTCTATCATTGGTCTCCTGAAGTGTTCTAAAAGCAAACATTGTGCTGAGGAGGATGGGAGATGAGACACTATAAACACAAGGACAGCACACATGCATGGTTTTTGTTTTTTTAAAGTGAGCATAACTCTGACGTGCAAATATTTGTCTCAGTCAGAGTTCGGGATTATAATTTTTTTATTACTAAAAAAAAAAAGCCACAGCGTAAACCACTTAAAATTGATATTTGCTACAGCCTGTCTCAGTCATATCTCTGGTGCCTGGTGAACAGATGTTTACTGTACTCAGTAACCTATTGGACTGTCATGTTGAGTATCTTGTTAGCTCAGGACATAATGTTTATAGCATAATGTAATAAATGGAGCCACAGTTGCAGTTGGCCTGTGCCAAGCTCAGGAAGTGCCCCAGCATGGAAACAATTCCTGAAGTTGGTCCAACTCGGCAAGCCCTGCTGGCTATCTGCCGGTTAGCATTGTTAATGTAAAGATAAATCTGAAAGATATAATGAGAATGCAGGCAGCAAGATGTTTAGTTTAAAAAAAAATAGGTTCTTTCAGTGAAAGCTTCACTAACCACCCCACTGATCTTTACATATTTATTGCTACACTGTGGAATGACTGTTTTCTTCTTTTTGATTTCACTTATTTTCCTCATAGAAGTTTTTTACTCATAATAGACTTTTAGGCTTTTGTTGTTGTTGTTTTTATTGTTTTTGTGAGGCAGTTGGGGTTAAGTGACTTGCCCAGGGTCACACAGCTAGTAAGTGTCAAGTGTCTGAGGCTGGATTTGAACTCAGGTCCTCCTGATTTCAAGGCCAGAGCTCTATCCACTGTGCTACCTAGCTGCCCCAGACTTTTAGTTTTTAAACAATAATTGCTAAAATTATATAGCATTTTAAAAATATAATCTCATAACAACAATGGGAAGTAGGTACTATTCTTATTATCCTCATTTAATAGTTAAAGAAACTAAGGCAGAGGTTAAGTGACTTGTCTAGGGTCACACAGCTAGTAAGAGTTAGAGGTCAAATTTGAATTCAGATCTTCCTGACTCTAGGTCCAGCATTCTATCCACTATACCACCTAGCTGCCTCTGGGCAGATTTAAATTAAAATCTGCAAGGACATAATTTCTTTAGTACCTATTATTTTCTAAATTGTGTATTCATGAGATTTGCACAGTGTTGCAGGTCCTCTTCTAACATTTTAATGGATTGAAGTTTGCTAATACTCAAACCTACACCATATTAATTATGTAAACAAGGTGATAGCTCCATGTGTCTCTTTGGCATTTTTTTCACCAGGATCATATAAGAGTTGGGGTGTGTATGTGTGTGTGTAGAGGAGTTCCAATACAACTGATGCTTGGTCAAATTCTATATCAGCTTGATTCTTATCCCTTATTTATTTTTCTTTATGATCATAAGATGGTTATAACAAACTTCAAAACACTTCTGCAATACCTAGCACACTTTCGTGAATGTGCAGGTAAAATTACTTTTACTTACAACCCATGTCTTCTTCATTTCCTTTTGTCAAGAAAGATTTAACTTTAAAAGATAGCATTTGTATGACCACACTAAAGGTCAGGAAAACCAAAGCTGAATGTTCAGAATAAGTAGGAAATTTGAAACAGTCCCTACATATAATTTAATTAAAAACTCTACTTTTGGTTTGCTGAACTTAAATCCTCAGAATCAATCAGTAGGTAGGCAAAGAATGCCTCCTGTGTTTTTCTGGAGACAGCCCATGTTCTGGCTCCAGTGGAGATAAAAGGTGCTTGGGAAGAAATGCTTCCTGATGTAAAGAGGACCCAAACTATATGTATGGGACATACATATGGTTAAGTTAACAACTCATTTTGCTTGTGAGGCAAAGGGGATAGGAAATGAAAATATAAAAGAAGTCTGATGTGCTCTTTCCTGATGAACCAAAGTGGGTTGCTGCCTTCTACAGAAGCTGAAATTTCACACCCCTTATGATAATAGTGAAATTTGACAGCAAAGCTTTTCTTTTTCTCTAATTATCTAAGTTTTCCTCAGTTAGAATGAGAGGTAGTGAGGTATAGTAGAAAGAACATTGTTTGGGGAGACAAAATGCCAGGGTTTGCTTCCCAATTCTTCTACTTTACTAATTTTGCTGCTTTACTGTGTGTCCCTGAGCAAGCCTCTGAGACTCAATTTCCTCATCTGTAAAATGGGAATAAAAATACTTGTTCAGTCTATCACACAGAATTGTTGTTTGCAAAGTGCTTTGCAAAGATTCAAGTTCTTTATAAATGTGAGTTATGTTGAATTAAATTCTACTCTGATGCTTCATCCTGAATGTAAATGTGAACCTGAGACCTTATACTACTCTAGAGTTGGTCCTGACTTCTCAAGGGCTGTGCCTATGACAGTGAGCTCTGGCAGGCCCTACTAAGCTGAAAAGCTGAGTGTGGGGCCAACAACAGAACAGTCCCAGTAATAGACTATACACCTTGTTGTCCATGTGGCTAAGTTGGAAGAGACTCATCACAAAATGGTTTGACCACCCAGGTGCTAAAGTTGTTTGGCCACAGGAACTAACAAAGACCCTCTCCCTAAACTTATGTTTGTTATCTTTCTAGGTCACATGAATATTGTTTCTAAGGTCTATCCATTTTTTCAAGGCCAATTCAAGTCCTGTCTTCTTGGAAACACTGACCCCTTGAGTGACGAATGGGAGTGATTTGATCATCCCCAATCATTTCCTCTTCTGAAGTCCTGTGATAATAATCTATACCAGTGCTATCAAGTTAAATAGAAGTGAAGGCTACTAAGCCATACATAAGGATTCCTGTGGGTTTTATATTGACTTAGAAAACCACATATTAGCATTATCTATATTCTATTCTATTTTTAGTTATTTTGTTAAATATTTCTCAATTGCATTTTAATCTGGTTCTGG